GATAGATAGATAGATAGATAGATAGATAGATAGATAGATAGATAGAGATTTGGACATTCTGGTTTTAAGATGGTTACTAGATTTCTAAGTAGAGATATCAAGTAAACAAGTAGACATATCTGTCTGGAGTTGAGAAAGTAAAAATACATCAGCAGAACTGGTCTACCTCGGTGCTTTTTCTACCAAATGGGCCTAGATAAATTTAAAAGAACTGAGTTTCGTGAAGATAACATGATAGAAACATGTAGAAATTCTGTCACCAATAACAACAAAAATAGTTAGAAAACATTCCAATTACAAGTTTTTCTCCAATATTTTCTCCTAAAGATAAAAATATAACAATTCTGTTGGTCTCAAAATGACATATGTGCAAACTTTGTGATAGTAGTAAATTTTCTAGTCTTTTGAACATTATTTCTCATGTTCATTTTCTGTTGTCCCGTTTTTGGCTGTAGTTTACAATGGTTATGGAGCAGTCTTTCAATTGCATAAATAAATGAAATAAGTTCTTCAGGAAATTAAGCAATGCAGAGAATTTTAAAAGCTTCACACATGATTTAGAATGAAATTATTATAATGTTGCCAAACTACTTAGCACATTGAGGTTTTTTTCTCTTTTAAAAAAAATGTAATTTTAATGAAAGTTTACAGAGATTTAGGGTTTCCAGTCATTCGTTGTTCCACTTTTCTCCCTGCCCACCCCCTTCCCCCAACTCACTCTTCTCCTTGAAAAGTGAAAGAAAAACTTTTTTATTGTTATGCAATCCCTCCCCCCAAAGTCCACTCCACTGTGTAGCCTTCATTCTGGACTCCTGTCATGACGGTAATACCCAATCATATATCCCTTTTAAAACAGCTCTCTCCCTCCTCTGTTTCAATGCAGTATACATTATTCCTCCCCTCTTTCTCTGCCTTTCCTCAACCCCGATGTCAGTCCTGTTTTACAATAGTGGCCCTATACAATATTTGTCCTTTTGTGACTGAGCTATTTGACTAAGCATAATGTCCTCTAGGGTCATCCACTTTTCATATTTCATTAGTTCCTTGTTTTTCAGTGCTGCATAGTATTCCATTGTGTGAATATGCCAGAGCTTCTCTATCCATTAGTTTGTTAATGGGCACTTGGATTGCTTCCAGCTCTTTGCTATTGCGAACAAAGCTGCAACAAACATGGGTGTGCATATATCTGCTTTGGTGGCAGTTATGGTTTCTTTGGGGTAAATTCCCAGTAGTGGAATTGCTGGGTCAAATGATATTTCTATTTGCAACTTTTTGAGAAAGTGCCACTCAACCTTCCATAGTGATTGCACCATTTTACACTCACCAACAGTGAATAAGGATTCAAGTTTCTCCACAACCTCGCCAGCATTTGTTGCTTGCTGTTCTGTTAAATTTTGCTATTTTGACTGGGGAAAAATGATATCTCATAGTTGTTTTGATTTGCATCTGTCTTAGAGCTAGGGACTTTGAACATTTCTTCATGTGTTTGTTTGCCATCTGAATGTCTTCTTTGGTGAAGTGTCTGTTCATATACTGTGCCCGTTTTTCAGTTGGGTTATTTACCTTTATCTTGTTGTGGTGCTCTAGTATTTGTAAAGGCTTGGACAAGCCATTAGAACAGTTTGTCAAGAGACTGAACTGATGGCATAGTGTTTTATTTATATTACATTAAATCCAGAGCTCTTCTGAAAGCATGTTGAATATCAAATGTAGAGCCAAGATACATTGAATGGCATGAGTTAGCACCTAGAGGACATTAGAGATCCTCTATCTTTTATTTTTTAAAAAAATTGAGTTACAGAAACTTAAGCTGGCTCTATAAAAGTCATCAGTGATGAAGAAATGCCATGAACTCCTTCCTCCCAGACCAGTGCTCCGGGTGAGTGTTGCTGTGTGTCATAAAGACTTAAAATTTACTTATTTTCTTTTTTTCCCCATAACCACTTACAGGGTTTCTTCCGGAGGACAATCAGATTGAAGCTTATTTATGATCGATGTGACCTTAACTGTCGGATCCACAAGAAAAGCAGAAATAAATGTCAGTACTGTCGATTTCAGAAATGTCTTGCTGTGGGGATGTCCCACAATGGTAAGTGGACTCTCCAACATGCACTTTGTCATTCTCACTGACATTGCCAGATCAGCAGGCACTCAGGCCAATGCTGAAAATGTATAATTTCCCAGAAGGCTAGATTTCAGAATACTTCATTCCAATAAGACATTCTCACAGAAGGCAGCATTTCCAAATTTTTATGTAAAATCCTCCTTTCAATGGCTCAGCTTTTGCCATACAAATAGAAGAGATTGAAAATCTCAGAGGTTAAAGAAATACTATAGTGTTTTGAAGCAAATGTAAGGGTAATTGTGGCTGACTCTTTTAAATTGCTTTAATAGAAGTAATGGAAACTCTGTTGGCCTCATGGGTAAGGAGTTGTGCTGCCATCCAGAAGGCATCACATCCACCACTGCTCCGTGGGAGAACGTTGAGCAGTCTCTTCCAGTTCCATTGTAATTTTCAGTGTCTGCAAACCCACTGGCAGGTCAGCTATGCATCAGTTCTGACTTGAGGGCACATAACAACAATAGCATTAAAACCAGAATTTTCTTATATGCATCTCTCTACTTTAGTCATAAGGAAGTCTTGCAACGGAACTTTAACTTTACATTTATTTACCAGCCTGACTGGGTGGTACAGGTGGTTGACATACTTGGCTGCTAACCAGGATACTGGAGCTTGGAGTTCATCCAAGGCACCGCAGAAGAAATCTTGGTGATCTCCTTCCAAAAGATCAATCATTGAAAAACCCAATGAGCACAAGGGTCTGAAAACTCCATGAATTCATGGGACCACCATAAGTCAGAATTGTTTTCAGGGCAAGTGTTCAGTGTTTTCTGTGGTATTATTTTTGTTTCTGTTGTTATGGGGGTTTTTTTGTTACTGTTTTTTTTTGTTGGTTTGTGTTTTTTTTCCTGTTTGTTTTGATGCGTTTTGTTGTACTAAAGATAAGCATATAGCACTGTTCTTGGCTTCAAGGAACATAAAGATTTATGGAAGGGATAAAATAAATATTTAAAAATTCTATTAATCCATAAAGTCCTTCAATACTCATAGAAAGAGTTGTTATTGTTGTTAAGTGCTGTCGAGTCGTAGGTGACTCATAGCGACCCTATGAATGAAAGTCCTCGACACTTGCGTGACTTTCATCCTTGCTCCAGGTTCATAGGGCAAGCTATTTACAGAAGTGAATGCCCATTCCTGCTTCCAAGCTTGTTTCGACCGGGGAGTGGCACCAAACACTGTCCACCATGGATAACCATTATTGCATTTGACACATCAGTGTCACAGTGTTCAGCTTCACAGAGGCCACAAGTTACCTCTGTGAGGCAAGTAGACACACCAGGGCTATGCGGCCTAGAAGAATGTTTCACCAAAAACAATTAATGACAAGCCTTAGGGCCGTGGATTAGAGTCATTCACCTTTGGCTTGTAAATAAATAAATAAAAATTTTCTACTTTTAAACCTGTATCTGAAATCAAGTTCATCTTTCTTTTTCACTCAAACTACAATAAAGTGTTAAAAAAATAATAAAGTAAGTCATAGTTTTACCTCTCCTTCCCCTCAAAAATGCCTTCTTTCCTTTGAGCTAATTATTCTTCTTAAGATAACAATAAGTAAAAAAAAAATTTTAAAAAAGATAACAATAAGTAATTAAGGGAAATAATGTGTTTTATGAACTGTAACTCAATAAAATCATAGGAGGCTTATTTGAAGAAAATAATCGTTGCCACTATTTGGTTCTAATTGGTTGATTCTTTTTATTTTAGACCTCATAAACTATTAAGCCATATTTTTAAATCAGCAGTTATATTTCAGGTGATGCAACCAAGTTGTGATAAACTTATTTCACTATTATGAAGAAATCACTGATTTTAAGGTCATTATGACTGAGTTAGCCTAGGAAAACATGCCAGTTTTGCTCCCAATGCAAGTTATTACTTTTCCCTATTAAGAAAATGTCGCTTCATAATTTATGTAAACATATTGGGTGGTTAACCAAAAGGTCAGCAGTTTGAATCCGTCAGTGGCTCTGCCAGAAAAAGATAGGCAGTCTCCAACCATATTTACAGCATTGGAGACAATGGAGGACAACTCTGAGTCAGAACTGAATGGGCAGCTGTGGCTTTGGTTTCATTTTATTACTTACAAGTAAACACTATTTTGTTTTCTGCTCCTAGAAAAGTCAAAGGAAGATATAAACTTTGCAGGGCCACCCCCTGACTTCATTTGTCAATTATTCTATTTAGAAAAAGTAATTCTTGGTAGGGAGCAGTCTTGGTGGGGAATCTTCAGTATAGACTTGTAAAGACAAGAAAAATATTCAGGATTAGATGTCCTAACGTTTAACATAAATGTTAAACACTTAGGCAGTTCAACACCTAAAGAATTAGACGTATTACTAACAAAATCTGCTGTCATTTAACAAAATCTGTTTGCAGAAAAGGAAACATCTCTATGAGCTATATACTAAAAAGAAACCTCAAGAACTTTATCATAATTATTGTTGTTGCTATGTGCCATCAAGTGACTATGACTAATAGCGACCCTCTGGATTCTGCCCTATCCTGCCAATCTCTGACACACTTGCCTCCACTGCCACACTGTGTCAATCCGTCTCATCCAGCATCTTCCTCTCCACACACTGGCCTCCATTGTAACAGTCACTGTGTCAACTCGTCTCATCCAGCGTCTTCCTCTCCTGTCCTAACAACCTTCTACTCTTCCAAGAACGATGTCCTTCTCACCCTCCTGACTAAATGTCCAAAGTATTTAAGATGGAGCTTCAAAATCCTTACCTTCAAGGAGCAACTTGATTTCACTCTCTCCAAGACAGAGATGTTTGTTTTCTTGGTGGTCCATGTTATGTTCACTACTTTTCTCCAGCATTGATTCTTCTATCACCCCTACTCATTGTCTGGCTCTCAGATGCATAGCAAGCAATCAAGAAGACCATGGGCAGGACCAGGTGCTCTTTAGTCTTTAGACTGACATTGTTTCTCTTTAGTACTCTGGAAAGATGTTTAACAGCAGTTTTTCTTAAAGCAACTTGTCTTTTTATTTCCTAACTGCTGGTACCAAGAGTTTTGATTGTGGATCTGAGCAAGATGAAATGCTTAACAGCTTCAGTCTCTTCTCCATCTATCCTAATGCTGCTAATTGGCCAGGAGGTGAGAATCTTTGTTTTCTTGATGTTGAGATGCCATCTTAATTGCAGTCCTTGACCTTGTGCAATAAATGCTTCAAGTCTTCCTCAGATTCAGTGAACAAGGTTGTGTCATCTGAATAACACAGGTTGTTGATGAGTCTTCCTCCAGTCCTAATGCCACATTTTTCTTCATAAAGTCAAGCCTCTTGAATGATCTTTTCTGCATATAGATTGGAAAGATATAGAAAAGGACACATCCCTGACCCACTCTTCCTTGATTTTGAACCATACACTGTTCTCTCCCTCTGTTGCATGACAATTTCCTGTTCTATATGAGCACAATCAAGTGTTCTGGGAGTCCCATTCTTCTCAATTTTAGCAACAGAATCAAGAAAGAGTGGGTCAGAGATATGTCCTGTTCCTTTATCATTGCTTCACAGTCAAATGCCATTGCATAGTCAATAAAACACAAATGCACATTCTTCTGGTAATGTCTACTTTCATCCAAGATCATTCGGCATTTCTTAAGCTGAAGGAACTGAAGAATAAATTCCAATTTTGAGTTGCAATAGCAATAAAGGTACTATGGGCAGAATATTAAATTATCCAGGAAGTATCAAAAGAAGATGGAACGAGTAACACATTCACTGTACCAAAAAGAATTGACCAACACAGAATAATTTCATGAAATAGTGTATGATCAAGAAGCAATGATAAAGGAGGAAATTTAAGCTGCTCTGAAGGAATTGGGGGGAAAATATAAGGCCATAGGAACTGATGGAATACCAATTGACATATTGCAACAAGCAGATGCAGCCTTGAATGTGCTCACCAAATTGTACCAAGAAAGCTGGAGGACAGCTGTCTGGCCAGCTGACTGGAAGAGATCCATGTTAATTTCCATCCCTTAAAAAAAAGCAATTTGACAGAGTGTGGAAATTATCAAATAATATCACATACAATCAAAATCTTGCTGAAGATTTTCCACAAACTACTAGAACAGTACATCGACAGAGAACTGCCAAAAATGCAAGCTTTGTTTAAAAGAGCTGTGAGTGTAACTAATTTTGTCTATTACCTTGGAGAGGGAAACTTGACCAAATCCAAAGTTTTTCAGGAGATTGTCATGAAGCCAATAGTTATAAGGCTTTCCCTCTCAAGTTTACCTTGCCCAGTGCTTTCAGCTCCCCTTTTGCCACCTGCTCACAACTTTGAAGGAGGTGTTGGAGTTAACCTTCAAGGAACCGTAGGGCTTCAGGAATATTGTGAGAAAGTCATTGAAATCAGTTCTGATTTCTGACAGAATCCCCAATTCTGTGATTATACCAATCAAACAGCCTAGTTCATGGAAATTTTCACTTTTCAACCAAATCTTCTGTATCTCTCCACAAATATCTAGAAATCCAGCAGTGGCTTACATTTATAATTTTTGGTGTATACATTTTTTATGTATACATTTTGATAAAATAAAATATTATTTATATACCTGGATCAGATCTTCTTTGGTGATCATATTTAGTGATGTAATCTCAGTTTACAAATCCATAATAGCCTAGGTTTAAGAAAAAGTAAATGGCAAAAATGACTGTAGAGTTTAACGTTGTTGTTGTACACTGTTGGTTCAGAACTGGCTCATACCTGACCCTCTGGCAGGTCTTGCGAGGCATTTAATTGCCTGGGAGGAGAATTCCCATCCTTCTCCTGTGGACTTTACTTTAAAAAAAGCAAAAGTAAATGGCATATTAGCCAATCAATGACTGAGTAAATTGCTTCAGATGACACTTTTCTAAAACATCATGGTCTAAAACATCATGGAGAAACTTAATTTTGGAATTCTTCCAATTGGAAACCTGTCTCCCCAATATCTATTTTTCAGTATTGGGT